ATAAATAATATAAATAATATAAATAATATAAATAATATAAATAATATAAATAATATAATATAATATAATATACTATACTATACTATACTATACTATACTATACTATACTATAATATAATAAATAAGGTGATTTTGAAACTTTTCAAGAATATGAGGCAAAGAATTATACGATATTGTTAAAAAAAAAAAGGACATAACATGGCTACCTATTCATTGCCATAAAGTGTCAATAAATAATCATGATTTGCCTTTTTTATTCTTTCTAGCAAACAATAGTCTGCACTAGAGTATTAAATGTTATGTTAACAGTTTCTAATTAAAATTGTTCCTTTACCAACATTATTAATTTAATAGTTACCCTCATGATGCCCTGGAATTAATATTTGTTGTGTATACCACAACAAATATTAATAAAATTATGAACATTATAATACAGAAAGAAAAGGAAAGAACATGTATTCAATGAAAAGGTTCTACCAAAGGAATGCTGCACCACTGAAGAAGCTTGATAATAGGAACTAAATAGGGCAGAACATTGTCATTTAAGAAATTAAAATGGGAAATTAGGTAAGAATTAGTAAATTGATCAAAATTTAAATGGGGCTTCATGCAAATTAATATTAAACATATCCTGGCCTTTATCATGCATTATCTAAAAGTCTAAATTGATAGATTTTAGATCAGATGGTAACAATTTCAATAGTGTAACTCTATTATGTAAAGAGGAACATCCTGTTATCCTGTTATTTTCATATCAGAGAATAACCCTGAATTCCAACCTTCCAGAGAAAATGAAAAAAATTATCTCTATCCATATCTTCAATATTGTGCCTTATTTTATATATCTCCACTAGGTAGTACCTAGAGAAAACCCCAGATGATAACCCATCATTTCATGTATCCTTTTTTGTACTTTATCCAGCTCTAGGGTGTTTTTCTTTCTGTGTGCACAACCAAAACTTTACATAGAATTCCAATTACAGTCTCATCATAATTTTACATAATGGCACTAATGCATTGTCAGTTCTATTTTCAATTCTCTTCTTTTGAATTTCAAGTAAGGGATCTATTTTTAAAGCAGCCTGGGTTGACTTTTTCATCTCCCTCTTCAGCATGATTGCATGCTACCAGCTCAATAAATTTTAGATTCATTGAATTGGAAAGTTAGGATTTCTAGAGCTAACAGAATGTTGATACCAGTACAGGGATCAAATAATATTTCAAAGGTTTTGCTGCACAGACCTGAGAGCCTGCTTATGTCAAACTACTTAGCAAAGATGAATCAAATAAAGTACAAGAATGAAAAGAGACAGCAGCTGGCATAATATTAATTTAGCAGGTTGTTCTGTTAAGAAAAAAAGCCTCAGATCAGAATGTACCTTCAGAGAATTTTTTGCCCTCTCTCTTTGTTTAAAAGTATATGCACAGATATTCACTGAAAGTAATAATACTGCATAACAACAACAACGTATATTCCATGACTCGACATCATATGCTTCCTGCCACAACTTGTTAACCACTTCAAAGTATCATAGAGTTGGAAGGGTTTTAGAGGTAACTGATTGAAATTGCTTAGTGCTTGCTAGGGAATTCTGGGAGTTGAAGTCCAATGTCTTAAAGTTGGCAAGGATAAGAAACATTGTGCTTAGAGCATTTCTGACAGATGATCATTCAGATTCTATTTGAAGACTTCTGGTGACATTATTAGTTTTTTATTTCAATTTATATGGCTACCCATCTCCGATTCATGACTCGGGATGATTAATTAGAAAACACCTTAGAACAATATAAAACATTAGAAATAACATTGCATACATAATTAGTAGTTAAAAACCAAAATAAAAACCGAACAGTTAAAAGTTAAGTTAAAAAAAACAAAACAACCAGCAACAAAACAATGCAAGGATTGCACAGGCTCTGCCACTCATCTGAATCCTTAAGCATACAACCATTTCTTTCAGACTTGTGGAAAGCCAGCAGTATCAGGGAAAACCTCATCTCTGGGGAAGTGATGTTCCAAAAGAGATAGAAAAGATGGCAGTGCTTGTTAGAAAGAAGACATAGCATGCCTTTCATGCCAGACCTAATGGATGGTTAGAAATAACAGGAGAGAGATGCCTCCTATTAGCTGGGGCCATGCCTTGAAGGGCTTTATATTTTGAATTGAACCTGGAAGCACCCTGGCATCTGATGCAGTTTGTAGAACAGAGCTGTAATGCGCACTGATTGGGGACTGCATATAACTGCCTAGGCCACTGCATTCTGTGATAGCTGCAGCTTCTGGAACCTGCTCAAGGGCAGCCCTGTATAAAGTGAATTGCAAGAGTCCACTTGGGAGGTAATTAAGGCATGAGTGACCATGAGCAAAGCTCTCCTATCCAGGATCAGGCATAATTGGAAGACAGCAGGAAACTTTACAAGGCTATCTGCATCATTGGCTAACAGCTTATACAGATTGGAAGCTCTTCTTGGGGCCTAGCCTGAATTTCCTTCGCTGATATTTCAACCCAATGGTCCTGTTCTTTGGAGCAATAATTGCACTCCCTTCAGATATTTCATGACTATATTGCCTCTCAGCCAACATTTCTGTAAGCCAAAGAAATCCCGATCCAACCTTGCATATAATATACATGTCAGGAAACCTGCACTGTAAGCAAAAGAATTCTATCCAAACAACTATATCTTAAATTTTTATTTAATGTTGAGAATTGTGTCAGCTGCCCTTTTTTCTCCCCTACTTTACATTAACACCACAAAGTTAAACAGTCATATAGCATTTACAGTACTGATCTTTTTTAAATACTTCTTTTTAAAGCCTCTTTTGTACAATTAACCAGTGAAACAGCTTGCCTTCGGAAGTTATGGGTTTTCCATCATTGGAGAGTTTTAAGAAGAGATTGGACATCCGTTTGTCCAGAATGGTCTAGGGTCTTCTAAGCAGAGACGCTGGACTAGAAAACCTCCAGGGTCCCTTCCAATTCTGTTATTTTGTTATTGTTACTATCTATCCCAAAATAAACTAAAGAAACCAGAGTGAAATCATTAAACGGGCAGAAACGGTGTCATTTTAGT